CTCGCCCGTGCGGTCCGTCTGGTTGTGCAAGCTGGCCCCTTGGTAAATGAAATCCGAAATGACGGCCGGAGCGTCGTCCTCCTCTTCGCTATTGCCGGTCTCCAGCCCTCCTCCGCTGCACGAGGCGATCATCAGGGGGGTGAAGCCATCTGAAAAGCACAGAGGAGCAAGTGAAAAGAGGCTTTTCACCCTCCCGCAACGCGGGCGGCTCAGCCAGATGCTCTGTTTGCAATAGAGGCTTATTCCCCGGGGTGCATCAAGCCCGAGGTCCTGACTGGTTCTGAACATCAAACATGAATATCCTTCCTCTGATATGGATCTGAAATTCCTCAGCGGTATCTCACCCCTCACTGCTTTTCCTATTTCATCTGCTAGCTTGCACGCTGACATGTAAGGCACAATTTATAAGGATGTTTTCCTCAAAGCAAACTTGAGTTCGGTACAGCGCAGCCTGAAATAGTTTTATTAATTCAGATGTGAGGAAGACCAAATGGTTGTAATAATTTAAAAGCCTCTTAAGTATTACAGTGAAAAACCTGAAAAGATGACTGTGAAATGTGCCCTTTGGTGGGAGGAGAGGAATGCAGGAGGGGCGCACAGGTAGGCTGGATGATTTCACAGGTACTTCTGCATTCTCCAATGCCCATTTCAGTGATGGAACAACAGAGATCTTACAGACAGCACAATGTGGACAGGGGCTGTCTCTACACCACGCACAACAGCAGCGCTACGGTGCAGAACAGCTAGCAGGGACTCTGAGCTGGGAATGCAGCCAGGTAGGGCTGTGTGGGACTGCTCATCTCCGAGGGCTAAGGAAGGATGTTAGATCAGCTGGCCAGCAGCTCCGAAAGGAGTCCACCTTACCAGGACCTCGGACGTTGACGTCCATGCAGTCGGCGTCGATCTCCCCCTGGGGTGGGGTGGGTGCCATGGAGGATATGCGCAGGTCGGCGGCATCCAGGTGCTGCTGGGTCCACTGCCTGTGATCTGTCTGGTCATCCGTGTCCGGCAGCATCGCCTGCTCCTCGAACTGGGCAAGGACAGCAGGTAGTGAGCCCCGGGCAAAGCCCAGGCTGGGAGGGGGCTCAGCTCCTGCATGGGGAGCTCGGCGGGTCTCTAAAGCGCCTGTGTCACGGGCAGGTTTGCAAAGGAGCCTGGCAGCAGGGATGTGCAGCAAGGGCTGGGCCCCCAGGGGTCCCTCTGTGACAAACCCCAGCCAGCGACTACTCGCAGCACAGAAAGGGAATGTGGCAGTGAGCTTACCCTGAACTTCTTGGTGTCCAAGGTCTCCTCATCGCCCCACTCATTTTGATTGTCATCCATCAGCGTGCCGTCTGAAGCATTTTTGAGGGGTCTTTAAAAATAAAACCACGCAAAAAAAATCAGTTCCTCTGCAGGAACAGGATGGGCTGTGCTTATCTAGATGCACAAACTGAAAGAGGAATCAACAAGGCAATTTCCAGGAGTTTCCCCCTCAGGTTGCCTTTCATTTTTAAGCAAAGGCAAACGGATCACGAAGCATTTAAAAACCTCCTCCTGATGGGAACGCTGTTCTCCCCATGCAGAACTTTAAGAACCCTGATATTCCCCCTCCCCACTATGCCAATATGATGCACTGGAGAACAAAACTTGGATAGTTTCTTTCCGAAGAGCCCCGAGCAGCCCCTGCTGCACCGTGTTTAACAGGTCAGCAAGCAAATTACTCACTTCAGTCCAACAGAATCCTCCCCGAGTGGTTCTCGTCGCTTCTTCTTGCTCGACTCTGTCACTTTGAAGCCTTCTGGGAACCAGAGCTGCCCATGCTCCCTGCGCCGCTTACGAGACACCAGTACTCCCAATCCAATGAAGGCAAGCAAGACCAGCCCAGCCACCACCACGTACATAGGATACAGCTGGGAGTTCTTCGCGGGCTCGGCCGTTTCACCTACAAAACAGTGGGGCACAAAGAGAGGCTGAGACATTAAGCTGCATAGCAAACCAGGGACAGAGTGGAAATGAAGGAAAATTAGTTAATAGAGGTACCTAAGTCTGATCTAAATCAGCCCCCCCAAAATAAGGTCATTTTATACGCTATTAATCAGAATTGCAAACTATCGGCAAATTCTGGGCTGCACAAGCCAGCCTGCATCAGGAGACAGCTCCACTTTTTTCTCCTTTAAGGAAAAGGATTAGCAAACTTCAAATCATTGCGCTTGCATTGAGCTGTTAAGACAAAAGGATTTAGGGGGGATTTTCAAGATACAAACTTCAACTCCTTGCATGTCTCTGATTGATTGGAGCTGGTTGGGTTTGCTTTCTTTTTTTTTTATAACTTTTAGAGTGATAATGATTTTGAAATAAACCTGGAACAAGCAAAAATAATAAACTGGGTTTTGTGATGTTTTTGAAGAACGGACTTAAAGAGAAAGATAATGATGCAAGGTTATTAAAACCAGACTGTGCTCAGAGGCAGCCAGCTGACAGATAACTGAACGTGGATACTGCTGGAAAGTTTTGGCTGTTTCTCCTCCTCAACTGTACTTACTTTTAACAGCTTCTATTTTGTAGGGTATGTTCAGGTTGCCCAGGGAGGCCAGGGCACCCAGGAAGGCTGCCACGTCGGTTGCACTCTGGAAGCACTGGGAGGATGACTGGATGCACTGGCGGTTATCAATTTCCAAGTAGACAATGGATCTGTGTGAGAGAAGTCAGTGAGAAACCCAGAGGAATGTCCACATTGCAAAGATGGTGAAGATGAGCAGAAGATGGGCCCTGTTTCCCTCCTTCACCCCAAATCAGTGGGAACTGGAAGGTGAGAACCCATCTCCTTCCTTCCCTGTGGCCCAAGCTCTACATCTCACACATGGTCTATTGGATTTGCCTTAGTGAATACTGTGAAATCTACCTCCTTATCTACAGAAGAGGAAGGCAGTCTCTGCTTTGCAGTATTTTAAAATTACCCAGACACTCCAGTGTCTTAAATAATGCTGTTTGGGAACCTTCAGATCTTTTCACATCAGTTTCGCTGCTCTAACTCCTTTGTTTTCGGTGGCTTTTGATTGAGCCCACAGAGAGGGGAGAAGGTTAGATCTACATGTTTATACCAAAGATCTCCAAACACAGTCTGCAGCAACCGAGTTTTACAACAAAGCCCTAGATAGCATTTCCCAGGGAGAAACTGAGGCTTAACTTAATGACTTCCTGAAGTCAGAGAGTCGGTCAGGCCAGCCTCTGCTTGCAGGTCCCACCCAGCCCAGCCCCAGCTCCCAACAATAAGAGGACTCCTTCCATGGTGAGAGTCGGCGCAGCATTGTACCAGGGATTCCTGAGCCACCACTCTCCTTTCCCACATGAGAGCAAATTCCGGTTTCTATTCACACAGAAAGCAACATCTAAATACAATTACCTGGCCTACATCCTTCCCTTTATAGCATGTTACTATTATCAACACAGAAAACAAACGCTCCTCAGTGAAAAAGGAAGCCATTGGTCTGCCTTACCCTCTGATGTCCATCTGATCAAGCTCTCTCTTCTGCCTCCTGCCAGCCCTGGAGTAGAGGCTGCTTTTCACTTTGTTGATGACTGCACTAGACATATCTGACCAGTCCTCTGTTGACCTCTTGATGTAATGCTTTTTCAGCTCCTCCTCATTGCCATAGTATGGGAAGATCATATACTCTCCCTTGGGGTTCTTCTTGAAGACCACGTTGGTGTGCAGCACACGGCTCAGCTCCCTCAGGAAGTTGAAGGAGTTGTTCTTCAGGTTCTCAGGAGTGATGAGGACCACCACCACCAGCGTGCCATCCGCGAGCTTCTCTGGCATGTTGTTTGCACAGTCCAGACCATCCCATTCGCACTCAAAGTTATTGCAGCCCTGGTCACAGTGACCATCTGAGAAGTGGTCTTTGCAGTACTGATCATACAGAGGGCTGGGCAGAGGAAAAAGAAAGGCAGAAGAATGAATTAGTGCTGCACATATTACTTATCTGCTGAGAAAATGAGCAGTGGTCCACAAGGACCTCTCTTTTGTGTAAATATTCTTCATCCTGCTAGACACTAGGATAGTTTACATAGAAGGCAACTCTTTTCGTGCAGTGCCATGAAGCATTCACCCCTGGGGGTGACAGACAGCAGCTGTCAAATTACAAGTCACAATTTAGATGCCAGAAAAAGGGACAAGTTACTGTAAGAGTCACAGAAGACATGGGAACACAGAATAGTTACTCAGAGCAGAGTTTATCCAGGAATCTGGGATTAAGTTCCTGCTGCTGCCAAAGACAATGTTTGGTAAATGCCTGGATGTTAACATCATCGTGTTTCCTGGCTCCTCTTCCATCTGGGGTCTCCCACCACTGAAATTCTGTGTTACTACTGTGAGTGGGAGAATTCACTTCTATGGCTTGATCCAGGCAATCACAGGGAAGCCATCTGCAATGAGCCAAACCCTGAGAGCTACCAAGTGTATATAAAACCCAGTAAGCCCACAGGGAAGTGTGGCCACCTGAATTACAGCCCCATAGGCAGCAGAACAGACTGTAGAGAGCGAACAACACACCTGCACTTCAGAGCTTTAGCAGATGCAGCCAGAAAACACCCCGAGAGGATCAGCACAGAGGTCACGGCTTGGAGACAAGGGTGCTAACGAGCAAGTCACTTACTTGCACTGCCCCTCGTACTTCTGGCAGTCAAATCCATCGTACAGGCAGCCGGCGTTATTGCACTGGGAGTCACACTTGCCATCGTTGAAGTACTTCCAGCACTGCAGGGACTGGGAGCAGTTCTTCCAGGGGTCATTGAAGTTGAGGGAGCAGTCGCCCCCGTCCCAGCCGCAGGCGTGGTTGTTGCACTTCCCATCACAGATCTTGTTGCCGGCGTAGCCCGCGCAGACGGCGATCTCACACTTCTCCTCGATCTTGGGAGGGATGATATCCTGCCCGATCCCACCCTGGAAATCGAAGTCCAGGATGTGGCAGTTGAGGCCGTTGAAGTTGGCGGGGCAGTTGCAGCGGTAGTAGGGGGAGGCGTCGCTGAAGAACTCGCAGGTGCCCCCGTTGTAGCAGGGGTTGGACGTGCAGGGGCTGCTGGCCGGGTACTGGCACTCGGGGCCCGTGAAGGCCGGCGTGCACATGCACTTGGAGCTCTTGTGGATGGAGATGCAGGTGCCACCGTTCAGGCAGTGCAGGTTCCCGCAGGTGCGGGAGTCGTTCTCGCAGGTGGCACCCACGAATCCCTGGGGAGGTGACAGCAAGGAGGGAGTCAACCACTGATACTGCCCTACGAGCAGCCTAACGCATGTCAGGGTGCTGGGAGACTCGGCACAGACCCAGTGAATCAGGGCACGGCTCTGGTGTGTCCTCTGAAACTAGTGATGGGCAAGAATAAGCTAGAATGTGAGCTCCATTAGAGCATCCCCCTCAAAAGGAAGCTCTTCTCCATAGCTGCCTGCTCCTCGTTTATGTGGTGCGTGTAATAATCAGCCAAACAAGACTCTGGCCTACAGAGCTGTGTGTTGTACCTGCAGGGCTGAGCCACCGCCTCCTCCCTGATCCTAACCCAGCCTGACAGAATCACAGCTGAGGTCAGAAGGGACCTCTGGGGATCATCTCATCCAACCCCCCTGCTCCAGCAGGGTCACCCAGAGCAGGCTGCGGGTCTGGAACCTCTCCAGAGAAGGAGACTCCTCAACCTCTCTGTGCAGCCTGCTTCACGTCTCAGGCATTCCCACAGCAATTTATTTTTTTCCTGTGTTCCACTTTGTGTCCATTTCCCTCTTGCTGGGCACTACTGAAGAAAACCTGGCCCCATCCTCCTGACCCCTGCTCTTTAGCTACTGATCAGCACTGAGAAGATGCCCTCTCAGTCTACTCTCCTCCAGGCTGAACAGCCCCAGCCTCCTGGCAAGCGAGGAGGGACGTACGGACACACCTCCCTCCAGCGAGCACCCACAGCAAAGCAGCTTCCCCTCCACGCTCACCCCTGGCTACCCCACCTGGAGAAGCCTCGCAGCAGCCCCTCGACCACCCCTCTGTGCAAGGGGCTGACTTGCAGGGCCCCTCCAACGCCCCAGGCTCGGCGCTGGGGAGCACAGGTACCTACCGGGGGGCACTTGCAGATGAAGCCTCGGCCGGTGTTGCTGGCGACGGCGCAGGTCCCCGCCATTCCTGCAGGGCTTGCCCTTGCAGCCGTCCACCACGGTGTCACAGCGACGGCCTGGGGGAGAGGAGGGCGTGAGAGGAGGGCGTGAGGGGCAGGGAAGGCGTGTGAGCCGTGGGGGGGTGGCTGGGGCCAGGCACTGGGCACTGGGCTATGTGGTG